GAGATCCATGACCCATATTCTAAGTACTTCTGGAATGGAAAGTAAGCCTCATTATTAGAAAAATCAGTATACAATAAAATAATCGTAGTGTGATCTGTTCAAAAAAAAACCAAAAGTCGAAAAAATTTTGATTCTTATGTCCAACACAAGTGATCCTCTTCAATGAAGAATGACTGCAACAAGTTTAATGGCTTTATTTACTTAATTATGAACGAGAAACAATAGAAAATATTATAGTAAAGAATATATGTTGATTAACATATACATCTTCATTTTATTTTTGATTAGAGATGCACATTCAATCATTGCTATTAAGCCTGATGATTGTGTGAAAGTCTACAATGATAACAGATTTTTTTTGTATTATTCGGTCGCTTTTATGCTAAGATAAGTTAGTGACATCAAAATATCGGTGATATCTCTCTCTGTTGAGTTCTAAATAATATTATCTGACATGTGCGGTAGTTCACTCGAACATTTATTCGTTACTTTTTTCTTTATGCTTAAATAGATCTTTGAATGATTTCAAAATGTATTGTAGCAAATAATCGAGTCTTTATTAATGGAAATGTTTTATTTTGATTTACACCATATTCACACTTACAGAGTCTGATAGAACCAAAAAAAAACCAGTTGAAATTTATATTCCCTATAGTAAAAAAAATGTTCCGTTTTATTCTATTTCAACAGAGAAGTTGTTTTGATAAAAAAGAGAAAAATAAGTAAAATCAATTTGTTCGTGTTTCAGTCAAAAGTCATCAACGGTCATTCACTATTTATTGTTTTCATTCGATTTTACCTTCAGGACAATACGATCGTATGTCATATGCGTAAGAGTTTAGAGCGTATATGAGATGAACGTTCATCGAAGGGTCAATAATTGAACAGTTTCTTGTAGTGATTATTTTATTGCCATTGACATATTTATTTTGATATTTCTTCAGCTGACAATTGTCAAAAATATTGAATTGCTTTTGTTCTTATCATTATTTATTCAAAGTTTCTTCAATGGTTTCAGACAAGTTTGAATAAATTAAATTAAATTGTCTATCATTAAGCCATGTAAGCGTTTGCAAAATTCTTTCATAAAATAAAAATTATTCACGAATAAAACACACAATGACTATTAGTTTCTACTAAATTGTATGCATTAGTTTAAAAGCTTTATATATTTCATTTTAGAAAACAAAATTGATAATAAATTTTAAGCATTAATCATCTATTATTTGTTTCTAGATATATACATTCTATGAAGATTTGTCTGTATTCTGATAATTTTATTTAATTCTGTTATTTATCATACAAAAATGATCTACTTAATGAAGTATAATTGATACTCAATTTCACACATTTATATATTGAGTGTTTGTTTTCATGCCTTTAAAGTAATTTGTAATTTTATTATAAAAATACTACACAGATTTTGTATACAATTTTGATACTAATCAGAATATATCATTGATTGAAAAGACAGTTACAAAAAAAAAAAAGATTAACAAGAATGTTATTCATAAGCATGATAATATACTAAATAAGTTAACATTAATGTTATATTTATAAAATAATAGTTCTAAATGTAATTGAAGCATCGTTTCGATTTGAAGAATCACAATAATCTACTTGTGATATATACATTGGTTGATGTGAATCAACAATCCCATGTCGTGAGAATCACCGCGATTTTCACGATTTTCTAAAAAATTGGCGTAAAATCGTGATTTATCGTATTTCTTTAAAAGATCGACGATTATATCAGATTTTATTGCGATTATGGGAAAAGAGCTGATTTTCAAAAATCATTGATAAATCATGACAATTATTCATTCACCGTTTTGTTATGAACACACACGGATATATAAACAACGCCGTTCAATGCATAACAAATAAGTTTTCGAAATATACTTTTCTGATAAATTATTTCTTGGTTATTTTTAATCAAGGAAATGCCAATCCCGATCCATGATCTGGAGAGGACTACACTGAAGCGGTCTGATAAGAATCGGACCAGCTCGAGATCGGACAGATCGCACGATCTGATCGGCTTGGATCTTGAGAACAAAAAAAGTTGAATTAAATTCAAGAAAAAATCCAAATATGTGTCTCCAAAAGAACCAATGAAATAGTAGAAAATATCAGTAAACAGACGGTTAAATCTTGCATAATATCACGATTTATCGTAAAAATCGCTGAAATAATCGGGAATAATCGGCGATTCTATCGCGATTCAGCTCACGATTATCGTTTCGATGAATCGGGATTAATCGGCAATTTTTAGCCGATTCAAAGGACATGGGATAATTCATTGTATACGTGAACGATTAACTAATTGAAGATTGTGTTTAATCCATTTATATTGAATTGATGATGATTGATAACCATTTTCAGTTAAGAAAATTATAGTGTGAATGAGACCTCCGGTCAAAACTATACTAAATTAATATCAACAATATTTTATAGATATGTCAGATTAGTTGATTGAACATGTGCTATTATACGATCAATCGTTGATTTTTCACCTAATTCAACAGATAATAAATTCATATTACCATAAACAATCAAATTCACTAGTTCATTATTATATACAGGAAGACTTGTAAATGAATAAACCGTTAATTAATCATGTTCATCTGTTCTAAGACAATAAAAATAAATTGTTGATAACCAAAGATCTTCAAATAAAATTATATGTATATATTTTCGATCGATAAAACATTGTGGTTATGATACATTTGCATTTTCTTCACACATATCAAATGTTTTATTGTACGTATTTCTATTTTTATGAAAACTAACTGATAATGTATCAACTTCATATTGACTTTGTAGAATATGTTGTAATGACTTAGTCAAATGTAAAACAAACATTTAATCGATTCGATCATTATACCTCAAATGAATATGTATTGATTTATTTTAATTGAGTAATTGAACAAGAAAAAATTTTTCTTCTAACTAAATAATCATTTGTACATTTCTGATTATGAGAATAATAAAGGAATTCGAACAAATGATGAAGATTAATCATTTGCCATGAAATCATATTTTATTAGCTTTTAATATATTCATAATCGAAAATAGTCATAAGATAAACAAATTAGAAAGGATATAATTTTGATTTTAGACACCTTAAGTATGTCTGTATTCGTGGAAAGTGAAATAACAAAAAAACCAGATACCAACAAAATCATCACTACATAGAGTCGATGTCAAAATGAATTTGATTTACTCATTACTCGAATAAGTTGTATCTGCTATATTTAAAGTAATTGCAGTGATAATTGGTGAAGATATATTTATGGGTTGGATATTTCAATTTCCGAATGAAGTTTACCAAAAGGACCATCAGTATGTAAATGTTCGTCTTTCTGGACTCAAATGATAAAGGCAGAGAGAAGAATAAGAAGATACCTCATGTAATGAAACAAAACTGTACTATCAAACTTTCACTGAATGTAATTTATTTCAATTGAATAACAATGCAATATGTCACTTAGGTTATCAATCAATCTTATTGAAAACCCGAATATAATAAATAGTCATTCTGATTTTCTAACGATTAATGTATAAAATGAAATAATGTTAAGATCAACTAATATTTTTTCTTTGGCATTGATCGTTATAATCAGCATTTCAAATTATTTGAATTATTCAGAAAATATCGATAAATATGAAAATTGATTGTAGAGAATTGAGAGACCAATGATTCTGGATTTTAAAACCAATTCCAATCATTTTAGAAAGTAGAACATTTCTTTGCTGTAGCTTTCTAATTATAGTTAAACATAGAGATTTTCTCAGATGCAATGTTAAGCATAAACAATGCGAACATGGTCATGCATAATTATTTTCTTATCAATAGGCACAAACGTTTAAAGCATATTTTTCAGAATATTATGTAAAAGGCTTAAATCTTTTACAACTCATCTCTCTGTAAAGTAGCAGACATATTCCGACTCAATTGAAGAAACTCATTATCTGAAAAAAATAAGTGTTCTAGTGAAGAAGAACTATGTTGATGATCCATTAATTATACATTTTAATTACATTAGAACCATTCTACTTCTCCAAACTTATCTTTCACAGATCAATGACGTCTAAACTGGCTTTTTTTCGTTTCTAACCAAAAATGGGTATAATTACATGCTGAAAAACGTTTTCATTGTATTGTGTAGATATATTTTATGAGGAATAAAAACAAAAAAATCGCTGATTCCCTACTGTGCTTTTCTACCTGTGAGTATATAGGTGTGAATAAAGAAAAGAAAGACACAGACACAGTCATATCTTTTACCCTTTTCTACCTATGATGCTCTTTATTGTATTAATTTGCACAGAGATCGAGTGTATTGTTGTTCTTTTTTTTAAACTCATATCTCTACACTACATTGAGTGTTTCTCTTCACTTGCAATTTAAATTGTAAGAGAAAACAGAAATTCAGCATTTTGTTTTTAAAGACTACACATAATTTTTTATGCTATTTATTTTCTATTGTTTGTAGTAAAAAGTGAACCACAATCGATCTACTCTCTAATTGCACAATTTGATGAAATTTTGAGAAATCTAGTAAATAAACTGCAATATAATTAAGTTGTCACAATACATATTCTCTTTTTCAAAAGGATGAATAATCAACAGGTAAATTAATTTTAGTTAGTTTTTTCCAAGCACTAGGAAAAAAGAAATAATTGTTCGTTTTTTTCTTTTAAGAAAATAAAATAAATTATTTTGATGCAATAAAATTGTCATTGTAACAAGAAGAGAAAATGTTTTATAATCCTATTTTTTATTTTGCATGTAATAAAACTAACAGCAATATGATCTTTCTCTTCTCACTTTTACAGTCATAATTTATTGTTTTCTTCTAGAATTGTCCATTAGTCTTATCATACTGTGATACAATTAAAAATTTATCTTTTTCATCAATTTAAATTTTCGACAAAATAAAACAGATATCTTCTTTTGATTTAAAGTCTATTCTCTTCTTAGATAAAATAGCAACATGATAGAAAACACTCAAAAATCGAAGCAATCGTCATTTTATTTACACTCATTTCGAAATCGTCATTTATATCCAGCTTCTAATTATCCAATAACTCATTTACTTGATCGTCTCAATGTCGATCATCTACTCTTAAATCAATCGTTATATGTTGAACATTTCAAATATACATTCATTTTACTATTAATATGTACTTTGACCGGTACAATTTTCTTTCGATTACATATACAAGTTTATAACACAATTCTCGGTCCTTTCTATTACAATCAAGAACAATTTATTGAATATGTAAATAGATATCAACAAGATCAATCATTCTTATCACGATTCTGGAAAATCGAATATATTCAAGTTGAATTAAATGAAAATAATGTTCAAAATCCACTTAGTACATATGACACTATTCGACAATTTTCAGATCCACGAACACGTCGTAATCATATTGCAACATACAAACGAATTAAACGTCCAGCAATATATGTCAAATTACCTACACATTCACGAAAACAGTTTCATGCACGTCATCGATTTCATTTTAAATCTTATTCAATTCGAACACTTCAATGTATTATTAGAAATCTACCATCAAGTTCAACAGATATATATCGAACATGGATTGAAAAATCAGATTATATTCAACATATCAATACAGAATATACAAAGAATTCAACTGAATTTAATAAAGCAGTTTTAATAAAATGTGGTATCTTAATTGGATATCTCTATCGACCGATGTATGAAAAAGCTTTCATTCCAACTAATGAACATAAATTTACATCTTTTGATATAGCTCTAAATATGGCAGAAGAGTACTATTCTTTTTATATATTTCTCATATGTGGTTTAATTTTCATTGGATTATTTCTCAAATCTTTATTCTATTTGATATTCTATTTTTCAAATATTGTTCGTAGTCAATTTTTACATCGATTAGGAATATTTTCATTCTCTTTAAAATTACTTCCAGATGTACTAGAAGAACTTTGGTTATTGAATTTTGACGGGTATCCTCATGAACAATTGTTACAATTAGAAAGAATAATTAAAAAGAGTGATCATGTATTTGGTAAAAATTTAGCAATTATTCAAAATGATTATGATCACTTATTTGTTGTTATATTGAAAGTGAATTTAAATGAAAGATTGGATGGTCATGATGAATCATCACCATTTATTATTTGTCCTGTCACTGATATACGAAAAATAACATAATATGGTGGTATTTGCTATGGTAAAGATTTATCCTGGATTCATTGGCCAATTGTGGAAATGAATGAACAAAATTGCGCAGAATGGCTACACGGAAAATTAATGGAAATAAGTGATGTTTATAAAAAACGGTATGTAAACCTTGATTCTTGCATTTCTAAGATAAGAACTATCAAAATATCTGATAAAATTAATTAAAGAATCGAATCTTGAACTTTATTATTATAAGAAACAAAAGCTGTTTCTCAATATGATTCGATTCCATGATTCTATCTAAAGGTCTTCTTTCGATCTAAAATTCTTGTTAATAGAATTGACACCACTGCTTTGAATACTTCTGACTATGAGATTATTAAATTCAAAATAATCGTTTTATTCGTTGATTCAACACATTGATTTAAACTCTTTCATACGTCAAAAAAGAACACTCAGTTCGATTTCAGGAATCATCCATGGGTAAAGTAATTAAAACTAGCCGTCCTGAACAAATCGATTGGATAATGCTTTCACAATCATCAATGGAAGAAACCTTATTTTCTAGAACTGTAGTTTTGGATGAGATTCAGGATATGTATATCTACTTCTACTGCATAAAATTACCTAGAAAGTGAAGTAGAATACAAGACAATTATATAGAATCGATAATTTTTCTCGGCGATTGTCGTTTTATGAATTTTTAAATTTTCGTATACTTTTCTTGGTTTATGCTTTTTTAAATTGCTCTTTTGGCGAATACGAACTCATTTTTTAGGTATGAAGAACGTCTTCGATATGAGCGAGACGACGAAATACCGTCATATTTTACAGATCAACCTTTGGAATCTGGTATTACCAGACGTAGACGAGATCGTCAACAAAATTTACGAATTAATGAAGCTACCAGAAATGAACATCAATTATCACAATTGATTCGTGAAGAAAAAAATATTCAACGTCTGAAAATTGAACGACAAAATATCTTAGAAAATATTGAAAATCTGCGAGAACCTATTTGTCCAGCGAATGCTGAATTTATTGCTAAATTTCGACTGAATCATGAACATGAAAGAAAATTGGTAGATATGGACATGGTTAAAAAACAAATTGAATGTACACTTTGTCAGGAAGATTTAAAACTCAATGATTCATATGCAATTTGGCCATGTCCTGGAGCTCATTTGTTTCATTATGATTGTATGTTGAAATCATTAAGAATGAGAAATACATGTCCAAATTGTAGACACGAAGTTGAAGGTGTTCTACCTGCATCAATGCAAGCGGTGTTGCATAGATTTTTGTCAAGATTATTCACGTAAACACACATAGTTAGAGTATATGTATGTGCGTTAGTCTTTTTTGTGATATTTATATCAAAGAACGCCATATTAAACTCAAGAAATTACCAAAAAAAACAAATTTTTAATTTCCAGTTGCTTTAGGAATCAAACAATTTCCATTTAGAATTGGATAATGTTGATTTTTTCATATGTAGAGCCGTTAGCCAGTATTGAGTAACTTCTTCAGTTTTTTTTTCTCTGTTCTACTTATGTCGATAATAAACAAAGATATATAACATACATTTAGATTCACACATAACAAATAAAGAATACAGTGAAAAAACAAAATGAAACAGAACAAAA